TCTTACTATTGATTTTCCTGTCATTTGATGTGGCCCTCCACAGAAACTCATGTCAAACAGAGCTAGATGCTAGAGTCAGTAGGCTACTTGCTACCGTAAAAATTACTCATGTAAGCAAAGTTCACAGAAATGGGTCTCTACCATTACTCCTCAAATACACGTATTAAAATATTGCTTAATTGTTTTCTTGTTCAAGCATAAGAAAAACTCACAGTATAGTACAGAAGGATGACAGGCATTCAAGTAAAATTTTGCACTCAAATCCCAAGTGGAAATATACTTGCAGTGACATATTGGGGACCCTTCTTTTGTATAAACTTGGGCTCACTGCATTTAATGTTGTGGTGGTTAGAATCTATGTCACTTTTCTCTTGTACTTCCAAAACGTAGAGGGCAAATGTTATTAATATCACCAATTGGAGGTTTTGTCTTCCCTTCCCATTCAAATCTCTTACCATAGTCAATAGGTATTTTGAATACATAAATACTGAATCGGGTCCTTGATTAGTGTTTGATTTATACCACAAAGACCAGAAGATTCAGAGGTTGCCAAGGCAACATCACTTCAACCTCCTTACATTTCTGCTTCAATATGAAACCTCTCATTATATAAATGTATCACAACACCAGTCAGCATGACAGGCTATTTTACAAATATGCCTTCAGATAGCAGACAGATATATTCTCTTAAGTGGGGGGGGAAACGCAGGAATAAGGTTACCTTTCACTAAGGGGAAGAGGGGAGGAACAAAATTGGCATTCAAAGCTATATAGGCTTTAGTATGAAATTGTGCCCTGAGCCTTCTAATACAGTCAATAAATTTTGTATTTTTGGGGCAAAAACACACAAAAGGGTAGGAAAGAAGCAAACAAAACAAAAACCCTCTAACACAGTACACAGAGTGTGAGACTGATGCTAGAAATTTGAGAAATTGGAACCAACAACTGTGCATAAAAGCTTTACTGAGCCATTGGAAATCTGATACCCCAGCACAAATTGTTCAGAACTACAGACCAGGCAAAGTTTAGTAAAACATAAAAGACCTACCAGGAACCTACTGACACCTTTTTAACCCCAGTTTTAATGTCTAAAGTGGTACTTGACAATATACCACTAGCCTTCTTTACTGAGCAGTATTCAATATGCAGTAGTCTACCTACACTTATGCTCCAGGATCCTTCAGCAAAGTCAGGCTCCCACAGGAAAAGGGCTCTGTTAAAGATGGCTATTTCTGTGTCTCCTAGACCACACTGAGTTTGAGCAGACTACAAGCTCATCCAGAATGCACAAGGCATGTCTAGCTGGCTGGGTTAGCAACAGGATGGCAACAGTACCAGATGCATCCCTCCAAACCCTTCCTTATGCCCTAGCACCCTCTGTGCTGCCAGGAGGCTTTCCAGAGACAGTATTACTAACAATCAGCTAATTCTGCATCATCTGGAGACACTTCAACATAAACTGAGAAAGCTGACTTCTCTAAAGAGAAAATTGTTACAAGTAAGAATATGCATAGACATTTGTAGTTATGGAAAAAGTATGAAAAATCGGAATGATCTGGGCTTAAATTTCTTACTTCTTTCCTCACTTCCATTTGTGGCTTGTAATTTCCAGTTACACTTTTCTCACTGTGACCCTGTGACATACTGACCATCCTCAGCAGTAAACAAAGTAAATCTTACGGTGTGTCACAAGAGAAAGAGGAGCAAAACCACCACTAGAGGGCACGTACAGTATTAGCAAAGCAGTTGTGTCTTCATCCCGTCAATTATGTCAGTTCCAGGTCAGAGACAACTGCCCCCTGTTTGCAATGACAAAATAACACCACCTATAAATATTTCTAGATTAACGTAACAGCAGCTCCCCAATTACCAGAGAGTGCCCATTTGTATGGTTTCTACAAGTAGAAATCCCTCTTCACCTACTTGTGAAAAATGTTACTGAAAAACACCTTACATCGCAGCTTCCTTTTAGGTTATGCCATCTGCTCTGCCTTCAGTGTACTGCAAAATGCTCAGGGCACAGACTATCTTGGACCACCCAACTGCATCCAAAACCTTGCTGTACAGACTACAGAACCAGTTTCACTATACAGCCAATTACCAATGTAATCCCAAAAGATGAAAGTGGTGTAAGACTGCGGATGTGCAGAGAATTCCTGGTTTCACTGCATAATGGAGTAATGCACCATTTATGATGTTCTTTACTTCCCCACCAACTTCTTGTTTCTTCTTCCCCTAAAGCATTCAGGTGATGAGACAAATGACCATCTAGCAGCTGTTCCAAATCCTTGAGGCCTCTCTTTCCTATCACTTTTCTGGTTTGAATGTTGGAGACTCTGAAGAGGGCTAATTTTACACCTAAAATCTAAAGCCTCAGAATTTAAAACAAACAAAGAAACAGCCTACCACCAAAAAAAAAAAAAAAAAAGCTTCTGAGACACACACTTTATGTAGGACAGCTACAAGACTGACATCAGAATCAGGTATCACACTGTGATTCAGTCAGCCCTGACATATTTTCACCTAAAGTGGGCCATGGAATCTAGAGAAGAGCCAATACAGCAGAAAACCTTCAGGGTTATTTTGCATAGGACAATTCAAATTCTACACAAAGCTGAAGACCTGAGACCAGAGCTATTTGCCTATCAATTTTCGACAGCACTGAAACTCATGTAACTAACCTTAGAAGACAGCATGTTATTCTGAACAATATTGCTGAACAAACAGTTGAATAAAATCAATTACCTGCTCAAGAGATTTTTAAGACATACATTTCCTTAATTATTGTCAGATATGCAGGTCAACAAAAAGGAAGATTGATTTCTGGATAAATTGAATAACCGTGATGTTAAAATGTTGTGTGAAAGAAACTGAATTAAAGCATTTTAATACTCATTTTAGTGAAATGATGAGAATATTCAGGAAACACTTGCAGTCAAGAAATTGTATACGTCCCCACCTGCCCATCAATGGCATAATGCAACAACCTCTTCAGTCTTCATCTTCTTATCAGTTACACCCATTATTTGTGCTGATTAATGTAATATAATGACTATGCTGTTTGCATCAGCAACATTGCAATCAACAAATTGACATTAGATGGAAAAGTCGGTGATCTTTTGTGACCCAATGCTGTCATCGCATATGCTCACTGGTACATGATGTGCCCCAAACTGGCCCTCAGCATCCAAAAAGCTAAGTAACCCCAGGCCTGTCCCTGTAGAGTATCAAGAAGGTGAAATAACATGTTTTAGTTGTGCAACAGTCTCATTTCTGTAGTGTTCAAAAACTTCCCATCAGTGCCTAAAACAACGCAACTAACAATCATCATTTGTTGTCTCCTCTGAGAGAGGAATTTGTGCCATTCAGTGCTTTGCTTTGCTAGGGAGTTTTAGTCTGTTTTGTGGTAGGTTTTTTTTCAGGCCTTTGTGGAGAGGCAGAAAATAGGTTATGTTTCAGGATTCCATGTTTCTTAGTGTTTCATCAGAGGAGGCATAAGAATCAAAAAAATGTCACCTTTCACATGAAAAGAATGGTTGAGATTTGCAGTGGTGCTCAGTTCTTGGGAGAAATTGCACACAAGCTCCTTTCCCTCCAAGTTCTCTCCCACAAAACACTGGCTAGGAAATCCACATTTCCAGCATCAGTCTATCTATATCAGTACGTAAAATAAAGCCAGGCATCTATTCCCCACCCTGACTGGAAGCACCATAAAGCAGCAGAGCAAAGAACCAGTAAGTTACACTCAATAAGCCACTCACAATATACGTGCTCAAAGCCATTTATTGTGCTTCAGCCCTTCCCTCCTTGGTCCCTTCCGTAGCACACATAAATCAAAAGGTGACAGTTGCAGCACTATTTCTTCTACACCTTCCCATTGCTCTTTTCCAAATCCTCACCCCTCCATGGGCAGAGGAGCTGTTATACAGCTCTCTGCGTGTGTGTATATATAGGCCTTCCACTCTTAACAGGAGAAAGGGAAGCCCCATATGAAAGGATCATTGTGGAAACATGGTAAATGCAAAGCCCTTGTATCCACACTGTGGCTATGCATGGCTTTGTACTGCAAAAGTTAAACATACTTTCCAAAACAATACAGACAGTGTTAAAGGAAGACCTCAGCCCTAAAAACATCAGCATTCAGCATAAATTGAAAGCAATTCACGTGAAAGAAAAGCTGCTGAAAGGAAAGCAGATGTTATAGGAAGCATGCATGTATATGTAGTACATATAGCATGTATACAATATGCATGCTTGAATATGGTATGCACATCTATGCTCTAGCTTAAATTTCCAATAGCAAGTTCTAGGAAAAAATAAATGCAGAACACCAAAGCTGCTACAGAGAGGAGCAAACAATGAATTAAATACAATTCCTCACCGAACAGCTTATTCAGTAAAACATAATACCATAGTGTCTACTGGCATCTTAATTAAGTCTTTACTGATTCCCCAGTAGTAAATTCAAAGTGTTACTGCTGCTTTTTTAAGATGTTCATGATTTTCTACCAGGATGGCAAATAGTTACCAAAACACTCATCAGTGAAGTTTTTCTCATTGTATTCCTGTTGTCATTTATGGGTTGTTTAACAACAGAAATATATTCTTAAGCACTTCTTCACTTGCATTATCATAGATCATCATAGATAATGCAAGACAAGTTCCAAGGACAGCATTAAGTGTCTGAAACAGGTAATGAATACTCTTGTCTAGACAAGAGATGCACACAACACTGTTCCTCTTCTCTCGGTTCTGCCAGCTGCTAACAGCTTTGATAATAAGCCGAATACTTGTAAATGCCCGCATCTCTTACATTAAGAAAAAAATTAGCCTTGTTTAAACAAAAAACAAATTTAAATCCTACCAACATCTAGTTAAGGATTAAATCCCCATTCTACTGGTAGGTTAATGGTGAGCAAAGCCAAGGGCTATTTCACATTCTTATCCAACACACAGATCAGTCAGTAAGATACATGTAACACTGTTCATGTGATGCTCACCTGGTGTAGCTTCTGCCAAAATTCAGGTCCATCCTCCATTCTTCTTAAGCTTGGTGGAATGTACCAAAAGCAAACGTTTGCATACTCCGGCTAAACAAGAGAACAAATGATTGTTTACCAGATGTAACAAATGGAACAGGAATACATATTATAGCTCATCAAAAAGTTCTGCTTTATTTTAGGGGAGCGGTGGTGGTGTGAAATACCATTGAGTTTATACCTTTTTCATTAAAAATTCCTTCTCCGACTCATGTTTTGTTTCCCTTTTTTGAAACTAGAAATAATTTTCATATAATCCATTTCTCTTCCTGCTGCCAGCAAAAGGAAACCTTTTGTGGTTTCTTTTTCATTTCTTCTTCCTATATACATATTTAACTCTGCTTTGCTCACTAAAAACTTTGGTTAGGAAAAAACTGTAAGAGAGGCACACAGAGGTAACAAAGATTTAAAGTTGCTTCCATTTTGAAAGAGAGCAACACTCTTTTAGTGTTTTTTTAAAATGGAAATTTCCTATGATGCATTTTACAGAACACACACAAACTCAATTTTTGTCACCATTTAACACTTGCACACCTAGTCATTTTTTTACTCAACAATGCTAATCTCCTTTTATATTACATAGCATGCTACACAGTACTGGAGTTAATGCTGGCTTTCTCAATCTCCACATTTTACAAGAATCTTGGGACTCCTTGAAGGGTATATGCCATACCCTAGATATACCTTGTCCAATATCTAAGCAGGCCTTTTGAGCAAAGACTGAGACTCCACATCTCTGCTTTCCTCCAGAAAAATTTTGCCTTTAAACTCAGCTGAGAATTAGCTGTAAGACTCACAACAAGAATGGCTGTTCACCATGCATTATAAAAGAAGGCATTTTATGCTCATGAGGTTTCTGTTTCAGATATGATTGAGGAAATGTTCCCAGCAGACCAGTCCACGGTGTGTCTACATTTCCAGCTAATTTGGAACAAATATTTATTTTGTTTTACCTATACAGATAACAATAGCATGAGGAATAGATCTGCCTGCTAATCCCACCCAATACTACCCATAAAATTACTCAGTCAATCTTGACCTACATTATTTGCAACACAGTATTTAAGTGGGGTCTAGATTATAACATGGATTATAAACTCCCACACCCCTCTCCCCTCCCACATGCTACCCTCATTAGTACTGGTTGAAAGAAAAAAAAAATTATGTTAGTAGCTGGGTCACGCCATCTTTTTGCCCCACTGTGAATGCGGCTGCTATTACAATCCCAGGCAGTCCCCCGAAGAAGGAGAGCCCACCAGCTGAGACATGTTCTTTCATGAAAGGGCACTGAGACCTGCTCATATCATTTTCTGCCTCACTTCAAAGAATGCATTAAATACAATTTAATCATCAAGAAGAATATCGTTGTCAGCAGGAACAGAGCTGCAAACCTGCCACCTGCTGCCACTGAATGAAATAAAGCTCAGTTCTTAAAGTCCCATTTCTTTCCCCAAAGAGCATGCATTTAGTACACACATAAACACAGACCCTGAAAAGGCTGAGGCTTCCTCATGAGTGCAAGCACTAGCTCACTGTTACAGGGTTTATTTTAAAAATATTTAAAATCAGATGGCAGGAGTAGACAGATGGCATATATTACCATATTGCCATTGCCTATATTGCCTTCTTGATTATATCAGTTTCCTTTCACACATCAAATACATCATCCCCCTCTGAAAATACCATTCATCCTAGAAAAAACTTAACTGCCCCCAGCCATTCTTCACTATTTCTGGTTATCTTGTCACAGCTCTTATCCAAGCAGGTAAGCAATTATACCACAGAAAAGTTCAAGATGACTGAAGTGCGAGAGGCATTTCCAGGCCATAGAGCGCTTCTTGTTACAGGACTTCCCTCACTGCACGTATCAGAGGATCATCTTCCTGAGCTTCTTGTCCAAAGTCCAAATTCCTTTCAGAAAGGGCTCACACAACTGGGCCTAGTTGCCTCCCAGCAGTCTTTGAATTCTCACTACTTGTCTCCCTGCACTCCTGAAAACCTTTTCTTAACCCTTGCTCAACTTCCTTCTTATAGCCCTGTACTATACTGTACATTATATACACAATATACTTTACTGTAGCACTCCTTCCAGTCCCACTTTCAATAGAGGTGTCCTGTTCCTGCAGGAACTAAACAGCAGCCTCTGCTCTCTCTTCTACAGTAAATCCAAGCTCTCTGCTGAACTCAACAATAACAGAAAATGGAGAGCTTTGAACAGACTTGTCACGTTTGTAATCTCATCATGTGCTGCTGGTCCAAACTCCTTCACTCCACGTAAAGTTTCCCAGTTTGCACTTTTAAATTCAGTTTTCAGCGTTAAAGGGAAAAGTTTATATTGTATGAATAGCATAAAATATTTTCATATTTCACATTTCTTCTATCCTAACCGGAAATGCTCATGGCATCAGCAAGTATTAACCAAACCTGCATCATTATGGTTTGTCAGCCTTCATGTGTGGCACTTACTCCATTTCCCTTCCTCCTCCATGTGTTCTCTTCCTCCCCATGCTACACACCCAGCTGTCTTTCACACATATACACTTCCAACAATGCAGAAGGTTCTTCCAAAAGTGACAGGTCTTTGCAACATCCTCAGATATTAGTCTCATTAACCAAAGAGCTGAGGATACGTGGAAAAATAGAGCTTTAGCTCTGCCCTATTTACTCACTCTCCCACAAACAAGATCACCAACAGGTAATAAACTGACAGTTTTAGCAAAGATGAGTGAAAAACACAACTTTTGGGGAGTTTTTATGGAGATAAGTGTAGAAAAAGAATTAAGGAAAAAACCATCAGCTTTAACAATGAAAAGTCCATTTCAGGATCAAAATATTCTTCCCTATAACACACAGACTGACAAGCACTGGGGTTATTTTGCAATCAGACTCTTCACTTTCACAGAAAAGTGCTCCATCTATAGCCCCTGAGGCAATACAGGCCCAGAAGCTAGAAAAATAGGTAGACTGGTGATAGGGAATACAGCACGTTATAGGTGTTCAACAGTGTATCTCAGTATGTAAACTTATTACATATTTCAAATACAAATTGGCAATTGGTTAAAAAGAACAAAATCAAACAACAGACACCCTCCCCAATAACAACAACCATTCAGTTCCATTTTCACTTACCTCCAAAAGAAGCTGGAATCCCTCTCTTTTCTTAATTTCTTCCACTAGATATCTGTAATTAAAAATGCAGGGTTTTAAAACACAGAACAAAACAATACATGCAGACAACAACAAAAAAATGTCTTGAACATGTATACACTTTTTTCCCTTTTATTTTTTTCCCCCTCCCCTCCCCCTAAAGAAACCAGAGTTAAACCTCATTTCTACCTGCTGTGAAAATGCAGTAGCTATCAGTTCCTGGAAACAAATGAAGGCTACAGCCATCCAAGGAGCACCGAGGAGAGGCCAAAGTCTATCCTCAGGCACAGATTTTCAGTGGAGCCACATGGTACAAATTGATCCTATTTGCATCAGACTGTGAACTTTTACAATGCAAATTTCCATTGATGTTGCTCTCTACAAATTAATTCCTCCACCTCTTTCCCAAGTGTTGATGCTGTGCTGCCATGTTATTTCATGGTTACCCTGACATCTCTTGCACTAACTCTCAGTTACTCTTGTAACTGCAACCTTTTAGTTTAGCCCAGAATTTAAAAGTTTCCATATATTTCAAGCCCAGCAATTTTCCCAGTGTTCCAGCCTGTACACAACAGTGCACATTTCCACTCAGTAAGTTACTGCTGATGCACAATAATCCCCGGGCATCCTATGCTAACAATGCACTGAAATAGTTATTTCTTTCCTCTTTCACCTGTCAGTATGAAAAGCATGGAAGCCCTCAATGGGAAGATGAGTTTGAATCAAAACTTTGCAACCAAAAAGCTTCAGTTTATAGAAATTTTTTAACACATGACCTCAACTTTGCCATGGCACACATCACACAGGAATTCTGAAGCAAAGAGGACACTGACATAGCTGGGATTTCTCTCTTTATTCCCCACCCACCCCATCCCCCAAGCCTTCCAAAGGAAAACTCCAAAGAAATCACCCTCAAATCTACACAGCTTTTCCATTTCAACAGAACTTTTGTCTTCCACACAAAGATTTTGCTGTCTAACAGTAATAAAACTGAGACAGTTAAACACTGATTGTGTATGAATCTGTTCTTTTGGTGCATTTATTTGGCATTTTCTTACCTGCAGCTGCATTACTGGTCATCACACAAATAATTTGTTTATCTACTACTTGAAGAAGAGAAATATTGTCAAAATAACCCGCCTTGGTCCTATCCACATACCAGAAACCTGCCCCTACAGGGACACCTCTAGCACAGTTGTATCTGCAACACCTGCTATTTGGTAGACATGCTGCAGAAACAGGTTGGCTAGGGAGGCAGTAATCAATACCCTAGATAGTATACATTTTTCAAAACAGAGCACAGGGAGTTGTCACACTGTTTATTATTAACAAGAATTGTGCATCTGACTCATTACCTCTTAGCACACATCTCCACAAAATGATCGCTGTGGTGGAGTGCCAGATCCCACAACATGCAGCTCTGAGTTGCACTGCACTGTGCACTGTTGAGATGTTTCTTCTCACTGTAACAGTTTGAGGTTCTGGGCCTTTTCTGATATGATCATTTAGATCCTAATGTGTGCATTTCTTTGTTACCTTGCTAAAAATGCCCACACTACTGTTTAGGTTGAAAGAGAGGCATGCTGAAAGGTAAGCAGAAGGCTAGATATCATGTGAGCGTATTGGGGGGAACCTGCTTCTGTAGGGAAACTGGCTTAAGTAAAACAAGCTCAGTGCTTTTGTCCTGTTGATTAGAAGGTACTTGTCTGTGCCCATAAAACCAACATTTAGTGAAATCAGAAAAAAAAAAAAAAAGTGGCCTTCAACTTTTTTTTTTTTATTTTTAATAAATCATGAAAAAGAAACCTATGTATGTTCACTTTTATACTCTTTCCTCTTACTGTAAGTGCCTTCTTTTAATACCACCATCTGATACAGGACATCTGATGTTGGTCAAGCTCACAACATTGTTAATCATGTTCTTAACTACATTGCCAATAGCCTAAGAAGGCAGCCATTAGAAAATCCATCACCCATGATTTATCTTGCCAGGACCATTTGATGGCAGTGGAGCAATTTACTCTGTGCATCTTTCCACAGTTGACAGTGGAGTTTTATCATTGTGTCATGGCTGTAGAATGTCAGAAGGGCTTGAGTCTCAGTGAGGCCTGGAGTGCACAGAGAATTGGTGTTTGCTATGATTAAGCCTTACAGAAAATGAGGGATGGAGATCTGCAGAGAAAGTAGACATATGTCTGCTAAGAGTGGGTGTCAGAAGAGGAATCAGGCAGAAAAACTGCAAAGATGCTGAAGCATAAAATGCAGAGGTGGTTATAGTTTTATACTAAAAGCAGTTTAATTCTATTTTCTTTTTAGTGTACTTCATAAAGCAGCATCCCTGCATCAAAAATAATTTAAAAAAGAAAAAAAGCAAAAGACTTTCTGAAGTGATCAGCAGGATGCTCTACTGTAGGTATTTTTAAAATAAGCCTTTCCAAGTAGGTAGCATCATAATGTTCCTGGGATATCCAATACACTGAAAAAGTGATTCATCTCCAGAGCAAGAAGAAATTACTGGAATAGCCAATAAGCCAAGTTTGATGCAATAGAAATTTGCCTGCAATTACACTAAAACCTTTGCAGCTCTGGCCATGGGGGGGGG